CAGACGCTTTACCGTCTGAGCCACCAGGGAAGCCCCTGGAGTAGGGCATGGCAACCCACTTCGGTACTCTTGCTTGGAGAATTCCATGAACAGAATTTTGTGGGCTACAGTCTATGAGATCTCACAGATTGGACACGACTGAAGTGACCTAGCACACACACACACACACATTATGTTTTACATTTTATTTTGAGGTGGTTGATAATGCAACACACTAAAATTGCAGTAATCAAAGTGAATGATGTGGGCAATGATAATCTGCTGCTGCTGCTGCTGCTAAGACACTTCAGTTGTGTCCGACTCTGTGTGACCCCACAGCTGGCAGCCCACCAGGCTCCCCCGTCCTTGGGATTCTCCAGGCAAGAACACTGGAGTGGGTTGCCGTTTCCTTCTCCAATGCATGAAAGGAAAATTTAAAGTGAAGTCACTCAGTCGTGTTCGACTCTTTGCGACCCCATGGACTGCAGCCTACCAGGCTCCTCCGTCCATGAGAGGAGTACTCTTTCCAGGCAAGAATACTGGAGTGGATTGCCATTGCCTTCTCCAATGATAATCTACTGCTTCTTTAAAAGAATATTGAGGTATAGTTGATTTGCAATGTTGTGTTAGCTTTGGGTGTACAACAAGGTGAGTCAGTTATGCATATACATAATTCACTCTTTCTTGGATTATTTTCCCTGTTTGATCATATTCTGACATATGGGGACAGCATTTCTGATTACTTTGTTACTCAAGTTTCTTTTTTTTTATTTTTAATTTTTCTTCATAGAAATGTATTAGCTTGAATCTGGTGTCTTAGATCACTTGGCTACCCTGACTGCTCACAGAACTGTGTTAAAAATTGACTTCATTGATGTTCCAAGGAGAGCTTGCAAGGACATACATATTTGTACACAAAAACTGTAGACTCTGAACCTTATGAGTAGGCAGAAATTCAAGTTCTTTCATGAGTCAGTTTTAATCATGAAAATTGAAGAAATTCTATCACTTCATATGGGAGATATACAGTGGATGCTATCAGTTGTTCACTGCTCATTTTATGGCAATATTTAGAATGAATGAGATTTTTTATTTATAACAATGGGGAAAATCATAGTTTTAGTCATTGCTGCAAGTTTTCAAGCAGGAATAGTAAGATAGTTTAGTAAGAAAATAAAAAACAGTTTCATCAGTCTTTCACCTTAATGAATAAATTGTCTTTTGCATTGAAACCAGTATTCCACACTATTAAAAATTTTTTCTTTTATAATTTAAAAACATATTTTAAATTTACTTTTTTATTGAAGGATGATTGCTTTACAGAATTTTGTTGTTTTCTGTCAAACCTCAACATGAATCAGTCATAGGTACACATATATCCCCTCTGTTTTGAACCTCCCTCCCATCTCCCTTCCCATCCCACCCATCTAGGTTGATACAGATCCCCTGTTTGAGTTTCCTGAGCCATACAGCAAATTCCCATTGGCTATCTATTTTACATATGGTAGTGTAAGTTTCATGTTATTCTTTCCATACATCTCAGCCTCTCCTCCCCTTCCCATGTCTATAGTCTATTCTCTATGTTTGTTTCTCCATTGCTGCCCTAAAAATAAATTGTTCAGTACCATTTTTCTATATTCTATATATTCTATATTCAGTTAGAATATGATATTTATCTTTCTCTTTCTGACTCACTTCACTCTGTATAATAGGTTCTAGGTTCATCCACCTCATCAGAACTGAGTCAAATGCATTCCATTTTATATCCAAGCAGGAATAAATAAAAAGAAATGAAAGAAACAATAGTAAAGATTAATAAAACTAAAAGGTTGTTCTTTAAGAAGATAAACAAAATTGACAAGCCTTTAGCAGGACTCACTAAAAACATATTTTAATCTTTAATTAATTATCTAGACAGAAAATTATAACTGAATCTGAAATATTGACCCTGAAACATATATTTGCATTTGCAGTGTGTAAATTTCATTCATAAATGTGATATTGCTGGATGTTGTGAATGTCTCTGTTTGATTCCCAGCATACAGTCTAGGAGAGGAACTGCCTGTTTATTAGTCTATGAAATTCTTGTATACTCCCTGCTCAGTAGTCTGTGCTTCCTATGTGTGTGTGTGTGCTAAGACACTTCAGTCGTGTCTGATTCTTTGCAACACTATGGACTGTAGCCACCAGGCTCCTCTGTCCATGGGGATTCTTCAGACAAGAATACTAGAGTGAGTTGCCATGTGCTCCCCCAGGGGATATTCCTGATCCAGGGATCAAACCCAGACCTTTTCTGTCTCCTGCATTAGCAGGCAGGCTCTTTACCACTAGCACCACCTATATATTATGCTAATGCCTCTATTCCTTACTGTCTTTACCTATGGGTAAGGAGGTATTCATTACTTTAATGGGTATATGTACAGATTGAGAATGAATGCTATGCATAATATTATAATGTTTACATTATTATATTCAATATCATTTCTGACTTGAAGGTCATACTAAGTCAATTCCTTGTGGCTAGCTGGTAAAGAATCTGCCTGCAATGTGGGATACCTGGGTTCAATCCCTGAGTTGGGAAGATCCCTTGGAGAAGGGAAAGGCTACCCACTCCAGTATTCTGGCCTGGAAAATCCCATGGACTGCATAGTCCATGGAGTTGCAAAGAATCAGACACAACTGAGCAACTTTCATTTCACTCACTGCTTCTGTATAGACTATAAGGGCAGATGTATATTTGATAATCAGTTTTGCCAGTGACTTTGGCAGCCAATGTGGACAAGAGAACAAAATCCTAATTAGGAAAATAAAATCCAATGACCTGTTATAAAATGCATAATTATATAAAGGTCTACAGCATTGAGAACACCTGTTCAAGAAATGATATAAAAAGGGATGATGGATGTAGAAGTGAAAAACTGCACTCTTGGGTTTTTCCTCTTCTATAATATTATAAACATGACCTAGTTTCCAAATGTAGTTTTTTTTTTTTTTCCTTAGTAAAACAAGTGACACAGTAAACTAGGGTGATATTTGTCATTTGAGAAGACATGGTTCTTTATAAAGGACGGAAACAGTATGGACCTAAAAGGAGCAGAAGATATTAAGAAGAGGTGGCAAGAATACACAGAAGAACTATACAAAAAAAAAATCCTAATGACCCAGATAACCACAATGGTGTGATCACTCACCTAGAGCCAGACATCCTGGGAGGTGAAGTCAAATGGGCCTTAACAAAGCTAGTGGAGGTGATGGAATTATAGTTGAGCTACTTCAAATCCTAAAAGACGATCCTGTGAAAGTGCTGCACTCATTATACCAGCAAATTTGGAAACTCAGCAGTGGCCACAGTACTGGAAAAGGTCAGTTTTCACTCTAATCCCAAAGAAAGGCAATGCCAAACAGTGCTCAAACTACCACACAATTGTGTTCATCTCACATGCTAGCAAAGTAATGCTCAAAATTCTCCAAGCCGAGCTTTAACAGTATGTGAACCATGAAATTCCAGATGTTCAAGCTGGATTTAGAAAAGGCAGAGGAACCAGAGATCAAATTGCCAACATCTGTTTGATCACAGAAAAAGCAAGAGAGTTCACGAAAACATCTACTTCTTCTTTATTGACTGTGTGGATTACAAAAAACTGTGGAAAATTCTTAAAGACATGGGAATACTGGGTCAGCTGCCCTGCCTCCTGAGAAATCTGTATGCAGTTCAGGAAGCAACAGTTGGAACCAGACATGGAACAACAGACTGGTTCCAAATTGGGAAAGTAGTGCATTACGGTTTTATATTGTCACCTGCTTATTTAAATTATATGCAAAGTACATCATGCAAAATACCAGCTGGATGAAGCACAAGCTGNGACCATATTAGGGCTTCCCTTGTGGCTCAGCTGGTAAAGAATCCACCTGCAACGCGGGAGATCTGGGTTCGATCCCTGGATTGGGAAGATCCCCTGGAGAAGGGAAAGGCTGTCGGGAGCCGCCGGGATGTGCCCAATCCATGACAAGGTCACAGGACGAGAGAGGAACCTGCAAGGCAGCTCTTTCCCTCGGGGTTGTCTGGGGGGGCCCGGTATGTCCCTTTCCTCTTTCTGTCTTACTGTTGTTGGGCTTTCTATTAATTTTTGGAAATGTAATATATAGTGATCAGGCCTCCCTGGAAAAGTCCAAGCCTATTTAGAAATGCTTATGATTGCTCTGGCTCAGGATACGACCATAAACATCAAGTCAAAAAGGAAAAGGCCACAGGCATAGTTTGGTTGCTTGCTTAAAAGATTATAATGTTCTAGAATAGAAAAGAGTAGAGGCATTTAGATTTAGAAGTAGATGTACTGCTCCAGTTTACTTGCTCCTTGGTTGAGAGGGTTTTCATTATTGCTATTTCCTTGCTATTTGTCCATTGTTTCCCTTCCTTTAAACAATATGGAATATTATGGGTATTTTTGTAGAGTTAGGAAATGTGTTACATAGGATTTCAATAGAAGATTTATATTAACCAGCTTCACTGCCATTACCTCACTATTAATAGAGGTGTTTTGCTGCTTTAGTGGTGCTTTGCTGCTTCATAGTTAATCATTGTAGACTGAGGTTTTGTGGTTTCAGGTAAAGAAAAATATCAGGGTTTTCACATGGTACTATTCTCAAAAATGTCAAACATGTTTTTTTTTTTTGTAAACCTTTCCTGTGTATTGTTTTATTACCCAAAGAATTCATACTATATCTGGAATCTATGGAACAATGTTTTTATTAGAATGAAAATGTTAGGCCATTGAGGCAAGAAGACTAATGCATGGGACATTCATCAAAAACAAAAAACAAAAAACAAAAAACAAAACCCTGCAATCAGAAGTGTTCTAGATGAATGCATAGAGGAAAAACATGGGAAAGAAAAAAAATTGACAGAAGCACGAAACCAACATATGATGTAATATGTGGTGACTTAAGGGGGAGGTAATGTTCATTCTATAAAAACTGAGCTGTCCTAAAAATAAAGAGGAGAGCTTTTTCTTCCACACAACCTTCTGTGTGTGTCTGTTTCCTTTCTCGCCGACGCCACTCATCCCTTGGGTACTCCAGGATCTGCTGGGGCTGGACTCTGGCAGAAACAGGAAGAAAAAAAGAGAAGAAAGCCATTGCATATCTTCATTAATAAATGAGGTAATTCCATTGTACCAAGTAGTTGAAAAATAAAAATTCAGGAAATAAATAAAAGAGCAACTTTCACCTCCACAGTCTGATTAAAGAATCACAACAACTGACTCTGAGGCATTGAGCCCTGCAATGATGGGCATTTCTCCAGACCCAGAATTATTTTCCTTTTTAGACTCACCATCACAAAGAGTCTTTTCAGAGCCCCCTTTATGTCTTTATTTCTCAGACTGTAGATGAAGGGGTTCAGCATGGGTGTGACCACAGTGTACATTACCGAGGCTGTTGCACTTGAGTGTGAGCTGTGGGTAGCAGCAGAGCTAAAGTACACTCCTAGGCTTGTAGAAAAAAATAAGGAGACAACTGAGAGGTGAGATGCACAGGTGGAAAATGCTTTATACTTCCCTTGAGTTGATGTGATTCTATGGATGGAGGAAATGATCTTTGAGTAAGAGTAAAGGATACCAGTCAGGGCACCACTACCTAGCAGGGCAGTTGTAAAATAAATCACCATGTAATTAAGAAAATTGTCAGAACAGGCAAGTTGGGTCATCTGACTGAGGTCACAGAAAAAGTGGGGGATTTCCACATTAGTGCAAAAGGAAAGCTGCAACATCATTAAGCTTTGTAACAAGGAATTCAGAATACACATGATCCAAGACACCAGAACCAGTAGTCCACAGATCCGGGGATTCATGATGATTGTATAGTGCAGTGGGTGACAGATGGCCACAAAGCGGTCATAGGCCATCACAGTCAGGAGGAAGATGTCCAACACTGCAGAGAGGAGGAAAAAATAAATTTGTGTGATGCAGCCTTCATAGGTTATAACTTTGCTCTGGGTCTGGATGTTCCACAACATCTTTGGGATAGTGGTAGAGATGAAACAGATGTCTACAAAGGACAGGTTGGAGAGGAAGAAGTACATGGGGGTGTGAAGGTGGGAGTCTGAGCTGACAGTCAGGATGATGAGCAGGTTTCCAAACACGGTGATCAGGTACATGGAGAGGAAAAGTCCAAATATGAGGGGCTGTAGCTCTGGTTCCTCTGAGAATCCCAGGAGAATAAATTCTGAAATTTGTGTATCATTGCCTGGTTCCATGTGTTTGAAGTAACTACCAGGAAAGAAAAAAAAATATTACAAATATTCACACAAACTTGAATGCAAAATATAATTAAAATTGGCCTTACATTTAGCCATCAAGAAACTAATTTTAATATTCTGTGTGCAGATCTGATTTATCCCTGTGCCATCTCTGACTTGGAATTTTTGTTCCAACCAACTTTCCCACCAAGAAGTCATGTATTCTACAATTTTAATGAAAAATTCTGCATGATTTCAGGAATGTAAATTGAGGTCTGACCATGATTCATTAATAGTTACTATCTAGGCAATTACTTCTAAGGTCATGAAAAGCAAAGGTGCCTACAATTCCATGATGGAGAAAAATATGTAACCCATTAATAGCATTATACAATACTTACAGATGGCAATAAGTGGTATAAAGAAATCTAAAGTAGCTATAAAGGAGACAGTGAATAGTGCATTCAATTTGTCATGGGTATTTAGGCAAGACCTGAAAACAAGGTGACATTTGATCAGTGACTTCATGTAAGAGGAGAGAAATGAAAGACTGTGTGTGGAAGTGTGCACCTGGCGGAGGGAATGTCCAGAACTCAGATAAATAAATTCAAAAATGAAAGAGGAGATTTTACAACTGATACTAGAGAAATGTAAAGGATGATGAGAGACTTTTGTGAGCAATCATATGTCAAGTTGTGTAATCTAGAAAAAATGGAAAAATTTCTAAAAAAAATGCAACCTCCCAAGACTAAATCATTATAAAACAGAAAATGTGAAGAAGCAAACCACTAGTAAGGAGATTGAATCAATAATAAATGACCTCCCAACAAACAGATATCTAGGATGAGATGCCTTCACTGGTGAATTCTACCACACATTCAAAAAGGAATTAATATCAATCTTCAGAAAGTATTTGAAAACTAGAAGGGGAAGAGACTCTTCCAAACTAATTTTTTTAAAGGTCATGTAATATTTTATTAATTACCTGCCTGACACATTTCTATCATACTTCTTCCCTTACATTTTGGCTGTGTGCTCTTTTTTATTTATTTATTTATTTTTTACCATAATCAAGGTAGTCAGTTACAGATTTATTACTAACAGTGAGAAATCTCTTATGTTATTCTTTTTTTCCTTTCTTTTTTTTTCCATCAAACTCATTTTATAAAAGCAGCACTACCCTTACACCAAAATCAGACAAGGACTCTACAAGCAAAGAAAATTACAGACCAATATCCCCAGTGCAAACATTCTCAACAAAACACTAGTAAAACTGAATAATGCATAAAAAGATCATGTATCCTGATCAAGTGAACTTATTTCAGCTTGCAGGAATGGTTCAGCATCTGTGATCAATCAATGTGATATACTACATTAACAAAATGAAGGACAAAACTTGTATAAACTTTTCAACTGATGCAGAAAAACTTCTTGACAACATCAAAGCTATCTTTATGATTAAAAACTCTCGAACAAATTGGATAAAGCAGGAACATAGCTCAACATAATAAAGGGCATGTATTACAATCCCAGAGCTAACATTATATTCAATGAAGAAAAGCTGAAAGCTTTTCCTCTTTAAACAGGAACAAGACAAAAGTCAACTGTTTATTTTCCAGTTTCATTTAAAAAATAATTGATATACACCACAGTGTAAGTCCTTGGAATACAGCATGAAGGTTTAATTTGCACACATTTTGAAATGATTACCACAGTGGGTTAAGCTAACATCCATCTTCTCAAACAGATACAGTAAAAATAAAGTGAGAAATAAAATAAAAAGGAAAATAAAAGATTTCTCACCCCAGGAACGGACTGGGGTCTCCTGCACTGGCAGGCAGATTCTTTACCATCTGAGCCATGAGGTAAACCCCTTCTAGTGATAAGAATTCTTGTATTTACTCTCCTAACAATTTTCCTATATATTGTACAGCAATGTAGGTTAGGTTGTTGTTTAGTTGCTAAGTCATGTTCAATTCTTTTGTGATCCCATGGACTATAGCCCGCCAAACTCCTCTGTCCATGGGATTTGCCTGGCAAGAATACTAGAATGGGTTGCCATTTCCTCCTCCAGGGGATCTTCCTGACCCTGGGAGCAAACCCACGTCTCCAGCATTGGCAGGTGGATTCTTTACCACTGACCCATCAGGGAAGCCCAACATTAGCTATACTTATCATTTCTTACATTGCATCTACATCTAGTACTTATATCTGGAAGTTTCTGTCTCTTGATAACTTTTTTTTCTATTTTCTTAAGCCTCAACACTCTGCTTCTGATAGACAAAAGTCTGTTTTTTCTATGATCTTTCTGCTTTTGTTTATTTAAATTTCAACATATAAGTGAGATCATAGAGTATTTGATTTTGTTGTTGTTGTTGTTTTACATCTTTCAGTTAGTATAATGCTTCCATGTTTCATTCATGCTGCCGTAAGTCAGAGGATTTCTTCTGTGTGTCATTTTTTTATGGCTAAGTATTATTTCATTGTGTACATTCACCTTAACCTCTTTATCCATTCATCCATCCANGAGATTATAGAGTATTTGATTTTTTTTGTTGTTGTTGTTTTACATCTTTCAGTTAGTATAATGCTTCCATGTTTCATTCATGCTGCCGTAAGTCAGAGGATTTCTTCTGTGTGTCATTTTTTTATGGCTAAGTATTATTTCATTGTGTACATTCACCTTAACCTCTTTATCCATTCATCCATCCATTAAACCTTAGGTCATTTCCATATCTTAGCTTTTGTGAACAATGCTGCTATGACTATCAGTTGCAAATCTTGCATTTTTCTACATTAATCATGAACTATCAAAAATAGAAATTAGGAAATAGCACATTTTCCAACTGCATCAAAAAGAATAAAATACCTAAGAATAATCAAGCAGGTATAAGACCTGTACACTGAAAAGTATAAGACATTGGTGAAAGAAATTGAAGAAGACACAAATATATGGAAAGATATACCCTACTCATAACTGAGATAACTAATATTGTTTTTTAAATTAATTGATTTAGTTTAATTGGAGACTAATTATTTCACAATATTGTGGTAGTTTTTTGCCATACATTGACATGAATCAGCCATGGATGTATATGTGTCCCCCATCCTGAACCCCTCTCCCACCTCCCTCCCCATCCCATCCCTCAGGGTTGTCCCAGTGCACTGGCTTTGAATGTCCTGTTTCAGGCATCGAACTTGGACTGGTGATCTATTTCACATAGGGTAATATGCATGTTTCAATGTTATTCTCTCAAACCATCCCATCCTTGCCTTCTCCCATGAGAATTACTGTTGTTTAGATGTCCATATTACCCAAAAAACCTTATAGATTCAATACAATTCCCATCAATGAATAAAAGAAAAAAAATAAGCTATGTCTTTTTAATTTAGCCATAGAAAATAATATTGCTATATGTGATACCATGGATGGACCTTGACTGTTTTATGTTAAGTGGACTAAGAAAAATACTAATACTATATAATCTCACATGTGAATTCTGTGGTGTCCCAAGGACAAAAGAACAGGAAAACAAACAAACAAGCAAGGAGGGCCTGGAATGCAGAAACAGGAAAGAAACAGACTCTTATTGTCCCTCCCTCCCCCATGCTGTAACTATTAAAGAATTTCAGGTCCTCCTGAGCAGTATAACCTGTCTCCCCTCCTACCCCATAGGAAGAAGGTATTTGCCTTACTCTTCCCCACCTCATCCAATCAGCAAAATGACCTGTAAGACCCCTATCCTGCTCATTGTATCCTCGATATAAAAATGGATTAAGGACCCCTGTTCAACATCAGCTCTCCCTTGAGCTGGCCCACTGTTCTAGCAGCATCTCCCACTCTAATAAACTTTATTCTCCTCTCATTCTGCCTCATGTCTGGAAATTCTTTTCCAACCCGCACACAGACCATTACAGTTTCTAAAATAACAGCAACAAAATACCCTAATTCTAACAAAAAATGAGCTTGTAGAAAAGAGAAAAATTGGTGGTTGCCAGAGAAAGATGAATAAAATGGGTAAAAGAAGTAACAATATGCAAACTTCCAGTTATATAAATTGTCATTGGGATGTAATGTACAGAATAGAGTTTATAGTTTATTTAGTTGTATTTTGAGATTTTTATCTTTAATTAATTTTTATTGGAGTATATTTGCTTTACAATGTTGTGTTAGTTTCTAATGTACTTCAAAGTGACTCAATTTTATTTATACATATATTTTTCTTTTTTGGATTTCCTTCCCATTTCTGTCACCACAGAGCACTCAAAACTAATGTTATCACTTCACACCTGTCAGAATGAACATCATCAAAAAATCTGCAAACAATAAATGCTGGAGAGGATATGAAGAAAAGGGAAACTTCTTGCACTGTTGGTGGGAATGTAAGTTGTTTCAGCCACTATGAGAACAGTAAGGAAGTTCCTTGAAAGTTAAAAAAAAAAAAAAAATAGAACTGCCATATGACCCAGCAAGGGGCTTCCTCAGTGGCTCAGCTGTAAACAATCTGCCTTCAATGCAGGAGATGAATGAGATGTTCATTGGATTCCTGGGTTGGGGAGATCCCTTGGAGGAGTGCATGACAACCCACTCCAGTATTCTTGCCTGGAGAATCCCATGGACAGAGGAGACTTGCAGGTTACAGTCCATCAGGTAACAAAGAGTTGGACAAGACTGAAGCGAGTGAACATGCATGCATGCAATACCCAGCAATCCCACTACTGGGGATATACCCAGAGAAAGCTTAATTCAAAAAGATACATGCACCCCAACTTTTATTGCAGCATTATCTAAAATAGTCAAGTCATGGAAGTCATCTAAATGTCCATCAACAGAAGAATGGATGAAGAAAATGTGGTACATATAATTAAGAACATTTGTGAGTTTAAAATTCATATCTTGCTTTTTTTGAACTCTCTGGAATTTCCTGGAATATTTCTAATCTATTGTTGGGTGAATCCATAGATGTGGAGTCCACAAATTCAGAAAGCCAAATGAACTAATGTAAGAGGGTAGGGTA